GCAGAGGTCATGAAGGATTTTGTATGCTGGGGTAAGGAGTTTGGATTTTATCCCACAGCGATGACATTTGAACAGGGAAACAACAGGTTTAGATTAGTGTTTTGGAAAGGTCATTCTGGACATCGCTAAGTGAGTTCACATACTGCTTTCTCTATAAAGTTTATTCTTGGGCCAGGTCAGGGGTCCAAGAGTGCATCCAGTCCAAGTTGGCAAAGATTCAATTTACAATGGAAATCAGCACAGCTCCCCAGAGGTGCAACATCTGAACAACTTACATCTTTCTTCCTGGAGCATAACTTACAGGGAGAAGGGAGCATGTGGGGAAGGACAGTGAAAAGGAGGCGCCAGGACTCTTGCCCCTAAGAGTGGAAAGAATGAAGATAGGAGAAGGCGGAGCAGTTGTATTTAGCTCTTCTTTAGAATAAGAGACTGAGCAGGCCAGGCACACACAGCAGTGCTGGCCAGTGCCAAGCTTTTCTCCTGCGCCCTTTTGCTAACAGCTGACCTTTGTGGACTTCCCTTCTCCCCAGGAACAGTTGCCATGACTATGTGGAGCACTGTTGGTGTCTTGGAGCCTTGAATTGGGAGTGACCTTGCAGGCTGCCTGCTGTATTCCCCCACTCCCCCACCTGTTTTGAACAGCAGTCCAGGGGGCCACCCATGTGTCTGTCATTCATGGCCTGTGTTCTCTTTCTCAGCCTCACTGTCATCTGCTTATTCCTTCTTTCTCCCCCTTCCCTTTAACAACTTCTACCTTTCCTCTTTCTCCTTCCCTTCCTCTCTCTTCTCTTTAATCCTCTTTTTTCTCCTCCTTTTTTTATTTCTTATTCTCTCTCTTTCCTCCAGTCATGATTTTTATCCCCTCCTTCCCCCGCCTTCCACCTGTCCCCATGGAGTGATTAGCTTTTTCTTTAAGTGTCTCCACACTGTTCATTCCTTGTTGGTCTTGACCTCCTTCCCTTTCTCCATCAGTTCGTACTCATTCTGCCTCAGGAACACAGTGACTCTAACACCTGGTGATGATTCCTCCAAGAATAACCTGAGTTGCTAATCTGGGAGCTGAGAGTGGATGGGGTGGGAGGAAGGAGGAAAATGACAGGAAGAGTAGCATGGGGAAATATGGAGAGTTGGCTCTAGTTACTGCCTTGAGGCTGAAGACTAACTAAGCGGCCATCTCTCCCAAGCCCTGGTCTTTGAGTTTTGCCTCTGAAAAACTTGGTCCCAGCCTAACCCCCACCTGCCATCTAAATCTCAGTGTCCAGCATGCAACCTAGCTCTTTGTTGGTTTACAACAAATGGTGATTAAGTGAACCCCATCTTTTGAGGGAATGGCTTCTTAGCTTAAAGAGAAGGTTGGTGGTGGGACCAGCTTTAGGAACAGGCTCACCAGGAACAGGCTCAACAGGCTCATCTATTGATCCAGGTTGTAGTTAGGATTGAATCAGATTGACGGGTGGTGGGACCAGCTTTAGGAACAGGCTCACCAGTAATAGATCCAGGTTGTAGTTAGGATTGAATCAGATTGAGGGTCAATGTCAAGATAGGGTTATACTTTCAGGATTAACTATTTGCTGGTTTATTCATTCATCAGACATTCACCGACAACTACTCTGCTCTGTGCTGAGAGCTGGCACTCCAAGGATGAATAAGCCTGTCTCTGCCCTCAAAGGAAGGACAGATAAGTTCAGCCAAATGTAACAGTAGCTACAGTAAACACGTAGGGGACCAAAAGGGAAAGTAATTGTTTCTACCTGATGGAGTAGTTGAGGACAGAGTTACGCCCATCCCCACAAAAAGATGTCTCCACAATATATAAGGGTCCTATTTTATTCCCTCTGTTAAAATTTTGTTTCTATTTATAGAAATAAAACATGCTTACTTTCAAAAATTTATAAAGTGTAGAAAACTATTTTTTTAGAAGTTTCATATAATCATCATTGTGTGTGAAGGAAACCACTACTGACATTTTGGTTTCTACAAATACTCATGATCTAAGGCCTTGGTGAAGGTTTATGACTCACAGAGGAGGAGGGAGAGGCTAGCTCGGCCTGGGGAAGCCTCTCTGTAAGGAATTGTGGGATTAGCACTGGGCCCTGGAGGGTGAGTCAGTGTGGGAAAGGAATTCCTAGTATAGGCAAAGGTGTAAGCCATGGAAAAGCATTTGGGGAATGGGAGAGAAGGTTTGTAAAGTGGAAGGTGATGAGGCTGGAGAGATAGGACATGAATGGTCTTAAACGCTTAACGAGGGATCTAGACTTCATTGCATTGCTAGTGGGGAGTGGAAGAGGGCAGAGAAAGCTTTTAAGGATGTAGTCAGGTAGACATTTTAGAGGAGGGATCCAAAGAGCTACGTAAGATGTGCAACTAAGGCTCAGGTGTCAGCATCTGTGACAGCCGATAGGGGTAGGTATCTGTCTGTCTGTCGTCAGCTGAATTAATTGACAGTACCTTGGGTGTTGCTATCCCCATGGAAGGGAATTGGTTTCTTCAAGCTTCACAGAGTCCTTTTCAGCCTAGGAAAGTGTCATTTATAGCCTTCTCTCTGTCTCTCTTTAGGGCCACTCAGATCAAGACCTACTCCTGGGACAATGCACAGGTTATCCTGGTGGGGAACAAGTGTGATATGGAAGAAGAAAGGGTTGTTCCCACTGAAAAGGGCCGGCTCCTTGCAGAGCAGCTTGGTGTGTACACGACATGTGTGTGCTCATGTTGTATGTGTGTGTGTATGCATGGGAGTGTGCCTTAAGGGTGTATTGTGATTGTGAATTATGTGCATAATGTGCTCTGTGTGTATTGTTTTATATTTGCATGATGTACGTATGGGCTTTGTTTTAACTAATCCATTACTCATGATATGTGCATATTTTGTTACATTGACTGTGTAAGTAAAACTTAAGTTTATGAACTCTTTTTTTACCAGCTCCTTCCACAGAAGATTTGAGGTATCTTATAAAATTATCATAGTTCATCAATAAAAAACTAAATAAGTGAGAAAACTGAAGCCAAGGGAAAGTAAAGGTAGGAGGAAAATAAGAGGAAGCCAGGGGTGAGATAAGTATGTATGTTGTAAATTCTTGGGCACGTGCAAGAGTTAGGCCAAAATATTGGCTTTGAGCTTCCTAACAACCATTGCGAAAAAGGAAATGTAATCAGTTACATGGTTCAGATATGGTCCTTAAGATGAAAACAATTCCATTATTTCAGAGAAGTACTGCTCTTCATTGGCAACTGTAAAGCAGACTTTATATGCTGTATGCGACAACATCCTTAATATCAAACATCCTTATAGCAACTACAACACTGAACATGGTAGGCTGTGTCTTACAGGTTTTCTCAGTGTAAACTGACGCTTCCTCACCAAAAATACAACTCACAACAAAAGTAATTATATGAAGGAATGAAACAATGTGGTTTAAGTATGCAGCTCAGTAATGCTCTTTTTCCAAGGTTAAAGCATCTTGATCCTTGTGCTCCACTGAGACCCTGGTGCCTGAGGTGTGTCTCGGGGGCCCTACGGCAGGACTCCTGCCTACACTTGCTTAAAATAGAAGCCTTTCTTTTCTGTATTGGAATCCAATGTAAAAGCACCTTAGAGAAATCTTCTAGAAGAATAGACATACTGCTTAGCTTTTAGCCAGTCTCCGTTAAGTATTTCTCACAACAGTGCTGTGAATTTTCAGGAGAAGGAGTTTAAAGTGATAGTACCAATATTTAGGCTAGTAGGTGGGTAAACTGTATAATACACAAGTGTGAGTTGTGTGTTATATATATTTATGTTATATATATTATGTGTGTATGTGGCGGGGAAGTATTCTATACTTCTTTCTCCCCTTTCCTATTCCCCAGGATGGTCTGGAATAGAAATTAGCAAACTGTAGGTGCTTAATAAATAGGGAGGTTGAGTCACCTTGGGTCGTGCTGCCCTTACCCCATCACAGAGGTTCTCAGGTCTAGAAAGTGCATCCATTGATCTGTGGTTCATAGAACAGTAAGCATGTGGTGAAGCCCACATCTAGGTGACCTCAGGCTATCTGAAACCCTCAGACATGCACCCTTTTTTAACTTTAAGTTGTTTTTTTAACAGATGAGAAAACTCAGGCACAGAGAAGTTGAGTAACTTGCTTAAGGCCACACAGCTAGTAACAGGTAGAGTCAGAATTTGAACCCAAGCAGTAGTCTGGTTCCAGAGCCTGTGCTCTTAACTACTTAACCTCACTGTAGAGTAAATATGGTAATAATAGGTGATATATGTTGAACCAGGCATCGTATAAAATACTTTGCATTTATTATCTCATTTATTTCTCACTATAACCCTTTAAGGCAGGTATTATAGGACATGTACAATATTCTGAAAAATAAAGTCCAGAGAGATCAAATAACTTGATCATAATTGTGCAGTTAGGAAGTAGTGGAGGCAGTATAGATCTATCAAATTTATGTAGGAACGAAGATGTAAGTGAGATTAATTCTTAGTAAAAGGTTTTAGGGAGGCACTTGAAGAGGGCCTTAACGAATTGGTCATATTTGGGTGGGCCAAGGTAACCCATCTCTGTCTTGTACAATTTCACGAGCTTTCCTCTCTTGCTTACCAGAACTTTTCTACCTACATGTTTTTCTCTCCTGTGAGACTTTGAGAGCAGCTAGGGTTATGTCTAATTTGTTTCATTATCCCAGGCACCTAGAGCAGGGTAGATATTCAGTCATTTATACATTTATTCACTTACTCATTGAAAAATGAATATTTATTGATCACATACTCTGGGCTAGGCTCTGTTTTGACACTTAGGATACAACAGTGAACAAAACAGCTATGATCCTTACTGTCATAGAACTAATGGATAAAGAGACATTAAACGAATAATTATACAAATAAATATATAATTTTAATTGTTATAAATGGGTGAATTATGTCTCAATAAAGCAGTTAAAAATTGTGTTAAGCTCTGCATGAGTTAGGACTCTTGTTATGGCAAGTGATAAAATCCCAAGTCAAATTAGCTTTAATTAAAAAATAAAAAAAGAATTTATCCACTCATGTAGCTGGGAAGTCCACTAAACCCAGGACTCAATTGCACTCTCCATTTCTCAGCTTTGCTTACCCCTTCAGCCTCCTTCTGTATCCAAATTCTGCATGGGTAAGATGGGTGATAGCAGCTCCAGATTCATATCTGTCCAACTCCTGCAAAAAGAAGCCTTCTCTCTCCCAACCACCATATATTAATCTCAGGGAAGACTATGATTGGTCACCTGTGAGTTACATGTCTGTCCCAGAATGGGGGAGGCAAGTATTATAACCTACAGTCCCACTACAACTGTTTAAAATAGTGGTTCCCTAAAGGAAGGAATGGCAGGCAGATAAAAGTAACACAAGTTACAAATGCTATAAAGAAAGAAAGAAAAAAAAAAGATCAAGAAACCTAATTTTGGATTGGCGATCTGAGAAAGTAACACTTAAGCTGAGAACTAAAGTATGAGAAAAAGTTAGCCAGGCAAATAGTGAGTATGCAGAGCGGAGGGTGGAGGAGTGTTCCACATCAAGACCAATCACAAATTTTAAAATAAATTATATTATTCTATTCATTTGAACAGTTTAGAATAAGCAAATATAGAAAGATACAAAAGTAGGTTAGCTCAGAGCTGAGGGGAATGAGGAGCTTGAAGGATAATAGCTAGTGGGTGTGGGATTTCTTTTTGAGTTGCTGAAATAGTCTAAAATTGATTGTGGTGATGGTTGCACAATTATGTGAATATCCTAAAACCATTTAGTTGTACACTTTAATTGGGCGAATTGTATGGTATGTGAATAGTAATCAATAAAACTGTAACAAAAAAAGGATGAGCCTAATGTGAGCTAGAGCTTGAAACACTCATGAGCTTGAAAGAAGGCCATGTCACAGGAACTAAACGATCAAGGGAGAAGAGTGTGAGGTGGAGAGTGGAGAGGTAGGCAGGGACCAGATCACGTGGGATCTTGTGAACCATGTTAAGAATTTTGCAAGGATGTGGTCAGGTCTGGGAACAGTGAGGGAAGATGCTCAGCCTTCCTCATCTCCACCCCAGTCCTATTCATCTGCTATGCCGTCTATTAAGTAAGTTTCAGTGGTCTGCTTTCCAGTGCAGTAGTGCCATGCTCTGCTTTATGGGATTCTTCTTTAGGATTTTGTTTTAGCTTTTCTCAACTCACTCAGCCAACAGTATAGATATGGCCACCAACTAGCATTTATTACAGCTATGAGTAGCAACAGGTCTTCTATATCCTCAAAGTTCTTGAGACATGGGTGAAGTTGTAAAGATGCTGAAGTAAGTGGATTGTTGGGAGGGTGGAGGAGTTTTGGGACTCCTCTTCCAGAAGGCATGGCATTTGGGGGCATCTGTTTCCCTGTGCCCTTCAGAAAGGAGCTTCTTGTCCCTTTCCTGGATCTGACTGGGAATGGGTCTGGCCAGAACCCAGGGAGGCTAGTAAAAGGTAAATGTGATTCTGCCTACTAGGGGAGGAGATACTCATTTAAAATGTGATTTTGAAACACACACATTCACTCACTCCAGCAAAGTGTAGTGATAAAAGCACTAGACTAGAAGTTAGGTGACTGAGTAGTTCTGCTTCTGCCACTAGTTTACTGTGTGGCCTTGAGCGTCTTGTTTCCTGTCTCTGGGTGTCATTTTGCTCCGCTAAAAAACAGTTGAATGGGAAGGTCTGTTTGGCTCTATCCGTCTTTGATTCTATGATTTCAATTCACACAATTTCTACTCATCACTCAGACTCCACAGACCCTTGAACATTGCCTTGCTTATTTTAGATGCTTGATAATTTTTTTTTTTTTTTGGATTGGAATGAACAATTGAAACCTTGTATCACTGAGCCTAGTTGCAGAGAAACAAAGACCTAGTTGGCATTTGCTAATACCTAACTTTGGTGCTGTGACTTATAGTTCTCAATGTGCTTTCACAACCATTCTCTTGTGACCCTCACCCTCCCTCCTAGCCTGGAAGGTTACATTATCATCAGCTCCATTATACTGAAGAAGCTGAGTCCATACCACTTGTGTTTTCTTGCACATAATGAGCTGTGCCATACTTTTGTGTCTTTATTTCTTTCACTTAAAGATGATATAACTTCTAGTCATACAGATAGCAGGTGGCAGGCCTAGTACTGAAACTCAGCCTGTGGATTCAAAATCCTAGGGCTCCCATTGTATCATCCAGGGCTGTTTCCACAAAAGCCTGCCATAGTTTCTCTTCAAATTTTTACTCTGTCACAGTCTTAGTGAGATTTCCTTAGATTATGTTGCGGTAACACGCAACCTCCGTTAGTAGCTTAGATGATAAAGTTTTTATTTCCCATTTACATTACATGTCACTGCAAGTCAGCTGTGACTCAGTTCCATGTGTCTTCTTACTCTAGGATCCAGTGTGGGATGGCTAAACCACACAAAGTTTATTAAAGCTTCTGGCAAGATTTGCAAAGCCCACATCCATTGACAAATCACACGATCAAATCTGATGTTGACAAAGTGGGGAGATGGGATCCTTCCACAAGAACGCACTGTAAGACACTTGGCAATCTGTAGGAATGTAAAATCCTCTACAGGTAGGGCAGTGAATAATCTGCCACAATCACTGAACACATGATGGATCCTGAGGACAGAGTGGTGAATGAGTTCCCTGCCCTCAAAATCCTCAT